CCAGGACCATCTGTGTTATGCCAGCAGCCTGGCATGGAAACAGAGATGTGGGGGAGATGGGGATGGGAGGACATAGGGAGAGATAGAAACAGAGGAAGAGAAGCAGAAAGAATAAACATAGGACCAGATTAAAATATCTGGGTAAAAACACCATGTGACCACTGGAAGGAGGGAAAAACAGTGGAAAATCACAGTCATATCTCCTTGGCCCTGTCGTCTACAAAAAGCTTTGCTGTCCAACTGAGCATAGAAAAGCTAGCATCGTGTTTGTACATGTGACAGTAAAAAAGTAAACACGCCTCACAAAGTAAAAGTAAACACGCATCACAGAGACATGAAATCTTCCCTTAAATCATAAAGAGTACTTGATGATATCTCCTCTTGCACCATGTCCTTGAATGTGACCAAGACAATCTGTGTACTTGTGGGTAGCGTGGGTTCTTTGATTAGACCAACAATCTTTAGAGCATCTCCTTCCACGCTACTAAATAACATTAAGCATGATGATGAATCCCACTGGAGCTACAAACACTACAATTCTCTTTAGGCCTGTCAATAAAACATCTCATTTGCTGCACTAAAATAAGAAGTCTGCCGGCTGAGCTTAATACACGCACGTGTTCAATGTACAGAACCACATAATGAGGCAAACCTCAACCCCAAGATAGCAAAGAAAGACAACTGATTATGGCTTGGTTTTTTTTGGGTTTTTTTTACTTTAGAACAGAATAGAATAGAATAGAATAGAATTACTTTATTGATCCCAAACTGGGAAATTGTGGCATTACAGCAGCAGGTTATCCAACACACAATATGAAATTGTGGCATTACAGCAGCAGGTTATCCAACACACAATATGAAATTGTGGCATTACAGCAGCAGGTTTGATGACATTTTAATGTCCAAAAAATAATAAAGAAAGAAATCTACGGATGTATATTAACAAGGAGAAATGTCTCCATAATAAAATCAGATGCAAAATGCAGTCAGGTTGGCATTCAGTATTATCAATTTTTTTTTTTTTTAACAGATATGCTTCTTCTGATTTTTGTGTAAAAGGCAACTTCTGTATTAAAACTCATCTGAGTATGAAGGCAGGATTAATCCAGATGAGATCACCATCAGTTCTGATCAACTGACTAAAGCACCACATTCCACCTTATTGACTTGGGCACACGAAGTCTCACCAAATGGTTCAGATCTGCTCAGTGAGCTAACAAACCAGAGAGTGCTCAGATGAAACACATAGATTATGTTAGCATTTGGTTTATCCAAACAAGAATGTCTATTTAAAATGCAAAGTATGCCAGAGTGACAACATGAGAACATGATTGTGAGGAAAGGACTATTTGAACTGTGATTTACATCCATTATTGACTGTCTGTCCACTAGAGGGAGTTTTAATGTTTCACTAGGGGCGAATAAAACACAGTAAATTGCTTCCTGTTCCACATCCTTAGTCCATAGCAGCTCAGTGCTGTGAGGTTGTGGGATTGCTCACTGCTACTGTCAGCCAGCATGACATCAGCATCTAAATGAAGTCACTGTGTCTCTTAGCTTCAGCATTGTTACTCATTCCCAACCAATGGCATGTTATCTTCAAAGTTCTTTCTAGGGCTGAGATGCATCACTACCTGTGTGACGTTAGTCATGCAGAGAATGGCTAGTTCTACATTTCCTCAGTTCGTTCTTTAAGTACGAACTTTTTAGTGTCTCAAGTAAGTGATGCCGCTTGTTTTCAGTGGCCATAGCATTCAAGTATTCACTGAGGCCACAGGACCGCCACAGGGTTCCCAGCAAGCTACAGCACACATCAGCTGCTTCCTGTCTGCCTACCTCCTGTTGCACAGACGGAGGGAGGTAGGAAGCAGGATTGCTAGTGCTACATGCAGACATACTGCTGGGACAGAGCACACATAAGCATCTCATGCACTGTCTGATCTAATTACTGTGCTCAGTGTCATTACGTCATCAGCCGGGAAATTACAACAGTAAAAATGAAGGCTGGTGGAAGTACACCACTAGGAATGAGTCCTTAGCAATTCAAATCTAAATGGTGAAAGACTAACACAACACAGCAAAGGTTTTCTTTCTTGGAGGGGCCAGTCATGCTTACTGTAGTCCCTCTTAAGCCTCCTGGGAGAGAGAGGGAGAGAGAGAGAGATTATCCTCGCTGTAGTCTCCAAAGGACGGAAATAATTAGTTAATACCTTTGCACAGTCTAAGCTGGTGATTCTCCTGTGTCTGTGTAATGCAAGACACGATAGGCTCTCCTTGTGCATTTACAAAACTGCTGATCACTACACTTCGATATGCATCTCAACATCCGCAGCCAAACCGTGTCAATCACTTTCCCTGTGGAAACCATTTAAAATTTAGTGGTAACCCATTTGCAACTTAGTGGATTCCTTTACTCCACTCAGGCTGATTGACAGCTCCCTGAAGACATCACCATCATGTTAACACCATGTGTGCAGAATCTTCTACAGAGAGGGAACCGCCTTGAGGGGGGCTTCCTCGAAGAGTCAGGCATCAATTCACTAAGGTAAACCACTATCATTCAAAACCGTCTCCCATGCCCACCTTCAAGTTTAAGAAGAACAAAAAAGTTGGGGTGTGGATGCTTGAGGAGGGGGGGGGGGGAAGAGAGATAGTTTGTTAGAAAGACAGTCAAATATTTTACCTGCAGCTCACACCAGGCAACCTCCACCCAGGTCTCTGTATCCAGACCCTTGTAGACCGTCTTGAAGGACCCTCTCCCGAGCTCTATATCAAATTTGAGGAATCTCCCTCCTGGGGACGTGGACACCGCTTTCATCTCAGCCTCCTCCTCATTCTCCTCACTGGCAGACTTGACAGCAGCTTTACCCCCATCATTGCATGTAATGTTTAATGCATTTCCACTTTTCTCTTTCTCCTCGTCAGCACTGGCGCTCTCTGTTGCGCTGTCCTTGTGCCCCCCTTGACTTTCGGTGCTCGAACCTTCTTGTATTCCGCAACCAGTCCCCCGCGACCTGTCTACAATAGTTCTCAGGTTTATGTGCAAGATCTTGCTTCTGTTGTCGCATTCAGGTGCTTCAAAGGCCTGCTCGTCTGTGTCAGAAAACCATAGGCTCCTCCTGATGAATCTCTGGTGAACACTTCTCTGATAACTGGAAGAAGGATATGCACTGGGGTCACTTCCACCTCTCACTAACGAATCCACATGATTGACATTTCCATCACCCATGGACTCATACATGTCTGTGGCTAGTTCACAATCAGGGTTGGGTACAGATGGATATTTCAGTTCTATGGAGTTGGAATTAGGCTCCGGCTCCATGGTGATTTTAAAAGTTCAGTTGCTTTGGTTTCCAGTTCATTCTTGCCATGGCTAGACTTGCCAAACTGCAGGTTTAGAGATGAGTACCTGCAGCGCCCACTCGGTGACGCAGTTTGCCAGCAGAGGCCCCTAACAACACTGGGTGGGATGGCATAGAGGAGATTTCATTCGATGTCAAGAGCTGCAAAAAAAAAAAAAGAAAAAACATTTTTTTAGCAAGTTAGTGAAACACAACCCAACATCTGCAGGAGTGTAAGGCAACACTCAAGCTACGGTAAATATGTATTGTACTCATGGGTTTCAGTAACAAAAGAGTTTAAATAAGTCAAAAAAAAAAAAAAAAAAAAAAAAAGCAGGTGGATGAAAGCAAGCTCGCAGTTTTACACTGTCACCAGAAGCCATCACTGACCAGGTGGACGAAAAACTAACAAGCTGCTGTTGACGACACAAAGTTAACATTAAGCTCGATATCCTAGAAGCAGCTGTTGTTCAAAAAGGTGCTGATTCGCCTTCACACACATATTGCATTGAAACCTATGGGACACGACTTACCTTGGTTCAAATCAAAGAAAAAGCTCGGCAAAAACTCACACTGCCGATACACGACACAGAGAAAAAAAAAAAACCCTGCCAGGTCCAGTGTTGGGGAAAAAAAAAAATGAAGAAAAAAAAACTCGCTAACGTTCGCCGTTTGTCCAAGGAAAAAGAAAAAAGGTGGACCATTAAACGCCCTATCTGTTTATTATCCTCATTTTTTTTTTTTTACACACAAGAGCCAACAGAACAGCCGAAAACGAATGCAGGATCAACTTAAGTTTTTTCTTTCTAATAAGAGCCCCATATTGACAAGAAAAAAAAGACCAATAAATTGAATTTATCTCCTTTGAAGTACCCGCATCCCTTCTCTTCTTCGACTGCAGCGCACGGTGCCAAGTCTCTCCGCTGCTGCTGCTGCTGCTGCTGAATGCGGAGCGTGTAGTTTAAAGACCACTGCTCAAAAACACGCGAGAAATGTTAAGTTTGCCCACCGGTCGTCTCCTCGGCAATTAATTCACGCTGGACAACTGTTCTCGCTTGTCATTGTCTCTCCTCCACATTAGCAGTTCAACGCAACGGTGAGCCACACGAATGTGCTTCCCAATTCAGCTCGCTTGGCTCCACGCCCCTGGTAACGACTGGAGGGACCGGCCAATAACACGACACGCTGGGAGGGCACCACAGAGACCCTCATCATCATGCTGCTGCTGCTGTTCAACGGCGAGAGAGACACACATATCTCACATGAAAAAAAAAAAAAGAAGAAGAAAAGAAACAAAAGACCAAAATAGACTCAGAGGATGGAAACGACAAAGCGTATTCCCTGCATAAAGCCAGTAAACGTCTGTGTAAAATCTCTCTTTCACGCCCTTTTTTAACGACTCATCAAATCACGTGGCTCCCCCCCTCTCTCTCGCTCCCTCAGCTCAACAGCTTGCTATAGCCGACAATAGAATTTTATAAATAAGAAAATGTAGCCTACCGGTATGTAGGCTATTTTTTGTTGTTGTGGCTTAAAACATTATAATAGGCCGAACTTATTTTAGAGACGCAGCTCTGTTAATTAGGCTCTATGACTGCAGGTCCCGCAGCATATTCTCTCTCTCCCCCCCCCAACCAGACACACTGAATCTCAATTTGACAGAGCCGCAGCCTGCAGCAGAGGCGTTCATTGACACATGGGAAAATGATGAGCAGCATCAACAGGGGGAGTGGGACTGAGGTAAGAAATTTGAAAACATTTTATGAAGACAGCAAGCAAATTCTGCATAGTGCTGTAGCCGAAAAGGGTGTGAAGGCCTGTTTGACTTTCTGAAGTAGAATTGTAGTGGGGAAAAAAAAAAAAAATAGATGGATGCCGAATTTCTCTCATTCTGCTGAAGTGGTCATTTCTTAAGCCATTGCTGCTGCATTTCATGTGAAGGGTTAATGGAAAAAAAAAAAAAAAAAGACTCATTGTTATGTCTCTTTTGGTCACTTCTCACGTTACAACTTAACAAACTACCTACAAATGATGTAAGATTGCAGATCCACAAGGAAAACATTTCTTCATGTTTGGTTCAGGCATGCTGCAGGGTCAGATGACAGTCTTGCTCATTTGAGGAGTGAGGCATTGTTGGCACCTGAGTGAACTTATAAATAATGAATACACCCCTTTGTTTCCACTTCAGTAGCCAAAATGAACACAAAAAACACTTGCATAGGCTGTTTTACTTTTACATAATGTCACCGTACTTTTGTGCCACGATGAGATTGTTGCAGGACAAAAAGTCTTTGTTGTGTTTTATGTGGCGATAGAAGTTGCCATTTGATAAGTAATTAAAATATACGGTTGTGTGGTTGTGTGTGTGTGTGTGTGTTTTGGGAAGAAGCGAGGAGGAAGAGAGAGAGAGGGACCCTGAATGGCAGCCAGAGATACTTCCTTGTGATAGTCAAAGCTCAGCCAACAAATGCAGAATGTAATACCCTCACGCTCAATAAAACGAGCAACTGGTCTCATATACGATGTGTCTTCCACTAGTGAGAGTCAATACGAATGGAATCAATCGGTTTGTTTTGTAGCAACAAGATCTTTTATGCTGACCTTCCACAGGCTTTTAATACATGTGCCTGTGTTGCATTGAAATCTCATCCTGTGTCAGATTTCAGTTCATCTTGAGCACCTCCTTTTGTCTTTGATTATCACTGCAACTTTTTCAAGAATGAGAAAGTGTTTCATCTTCTGAGTGCCATGGTGGGATAGAGAAGTTATGTTTGCTTTGCACTGTGTAAGGCTGTAAAGCTAAAAGCCCAACAGAGAATCATAGAAATTAGATTTACAGTTGGGTCGATCATCTTCTGGAGGAGAGCCAGAGTTTGAGGTGAGTGAGAGAGGCAGGCTGCTGATAGGACATGATGGATGGAGAGAGCAGAGAAGTGCTGATGTATAAGAAAAAAGGGATGGGAAACACACACCCATGCAGTTACAGATGCACGTTCATTTGCTCTTTCATCATGACACTGAACAGAACAGGTCCAGTTAACTAAATAATACATGCAGGGTTCTAAGTGGTGTCTTTTAGTGTTGCATGGATCTCTCTACATACAGAAACAGAACTTTGTTGAACAGAAAATAAGGTGGTTGGCATATTCTCACAGTATCTGATGATCAGGTTCTTAGTTTAGCTGGGTAGTTTGATCATATGGGCTAAGGGTTGACTGAGTTCATTTCTTTCTGTTGGCAGAAAGCCAAGGCTTTTGGAATGAAAGCATCTTTTTTTGGTTCATTTAGGTGAAAGGTTTACTTTTAGTCTCAAGAATTTACAATCTGAAGCCCTTCCAGAGCGTTCAAAGTATGTGACGTTTTACAAGGCAGACATAAAGGTAATCTATGAATCTATGGAATACAAATGAGTGAATAAGTGAGTGTAAAGAGCTCATAAACAAACACTAGTAATAGCCACTTTGACAATTCCGTTTTAAATTTGCTTTCCAATTTGGATTATTGATTATGTAAATGTTAAGTGATTTTAATTGTCTATAATTTATGTTTTATTTGTGTTTTATGTGTGATTTTGTACACACACACACACACACACACACGTATATTTGTACATTTAATTTTCAAACTTTGATTTAAAAAAATAAAAAATATATTTTTTATGGTAATACAACAGGTAGTCCAGGATGTCGCCATTGCCCCCCCCATGTTTTTTACCTCCCATTTTAGTCTACATCAATCATTTAGAGGGATCATTTAATAAATAAATAATTTAACCATCTGATTTCATTGATCTTATACTCAGTATACATGTCATTACATTTACAGAGAGAAGTCTTCTTGAAATACTTCTGCGTGATTCTGCTATTCCAAGTGATGCATCACTGAGAATTAATAAATATTCACACTTTTCTTTTACTCCCTGTCCTCTTTCCCATCTACATCCTCCGCTGTGTGTTATTTTAGACAAGGAACACAGTGTGAATAATTCATAGTAATAATAAGCATTGAAACCTTGGAAACGTGCAGAGTGACTGACTTAATGAGGACCCTTTGTTTTAGATTGTGCAAAATAACTAAAGGTAAATAGCTGGGTGACTGACAAGAGCAATGTTTCACATATTGAAATGCAAAAGATAGTGCAAATATGCAAATGTCGTTTGTTTTAAGTTTTTCTTTTACTAAGTGTAGTCAAAATGTCAGCCTTGTCCAGGTGCATCCTGTTATTTTGTTTGCTTTTTTGCACGTGCAGTTTGCTCACACTCCCACCCAAACAGCGCAAAAAGCACAGCGTGATATACATTATTCACTGGGTTTTTTGGGGGCTTTTTTGCCTTTAAAGTAGAGATAGGACAGTGAATAGAGCTGGAAATCAGGGAGAGAGAGAGTGGGGAATGACATGCGGGAAAGGAGCCACAGGCTGGATTCAAACCCGGGCCGCCTGCTTTGAGGACTATAGCCTCCATACATGGGGTGCACGAACTAACCACTGAGCTACCAGCGCCCCATTCACTGTCTTTTTGTCTCACACGGTCTTATCTGCTCTGATTAGTGGTTATCCTATGTTCTCAGCAGTATGACAACTTGGTGTGACTAGGTAGGTGGGCCTTAGTCTTTGCCTTGTGTGTACACAATGCTCAGAGTCTAAAAGAGGTCTTCATATTTGCTGATGAATTCTGGAGAAATATCATGTGCTGTACTTTCTAGACATTCTGACTCCATCCTGTGATCTCACAGCAACATTATCTCACTGTGGTCTGTTGACTCAGGGATAAAGGGCTGTCCTTAAAAAAAAAAAAAAAAACCTGTGTCAGTGTATGAGAGCAGCATGTGTGACCCTAACACGTCATGACACAGAGCCATTTGTAGCATTTGGCACAAATCACAGTCACACGGGAGGGGACTACACACAACACAAAACTACATCGCTATTCCTGAAGAATGTAGGGAAACATATTTTTTTAAGAGCTGTATGACATATTGTTATGACTCTAGTCATGGGACATTATTGCTCCCCGGTAATAAACATTAGGAGAAGATTTTGCTGGTTGTTGTTGTCTCTCATGAGGCTATGCCAAATGATCAAATCTACAATTATAGGTACGCCCCTAAATGTGGAACTGGGCCTGTGATGCATGTAACCATGACTTATGTCTTACTTGAAGAATTAGACATGGCTCGTTTTTTTTTTTAATATGGCTTAAAAAATAAAACCATCACAGTAATTACTAAGTACAACCCCCTCAACCACACCTTCTGTGCAGTTTGTACTTCCCCCTCGTACATCAACAAAACCATGCCATGTGATTGTTGTGAATCTCTTAAAGACATTGTAATTCAGCTGTAGCAAATTAGAGGGTGCAGCTCTTTTTTTCTCCTCTTTTTGTCTCAGCTCAGAGGGGGGACAGTTCGTACCAGCTCTGTGGTTTGGTTAATCCCTGACAAACTGTGCTCCCTGCAGCAGCAGCAGGGTGTGTTGTGAGAAAAAAAGAGGAAGGTTTCAGTGTTTCGAAGAGTAGTGTGTGTGTGTGTGTGTGTGTGTGTGAGCATGTGTGTGAGCATTTGTGTGTGTGTGTATGATCGTGCTCAGGTGTGAGTCAGGCAACACTGAATAGTGAATGCAAGTGGATGTTCATTCAGCAGCAGCGCCCATGATGGAAGAGGTTTTTTTTTCTACATGATTTCAAAAAGAGAGTTATTTCTTATTGCAACAAGATGACAAGTTATTCATCTCTTGCTGACCCATTATATTTTTTCTATGCCAGGCAGAGTCCACTTGGCTGGAGTACACACACACATACACACACACACACACACAAATCCTGGCTACGCGTCTGTTACATAATCTTCGCCCACACAAGGATCAATAGGTTGTAGAATTTAACACAAAACCAAAAGTTGATTTTTGTTGACGCTTTCAGCTATCACCTGTTGAGCACTTATTGACGAGATACTGCCTAAATTATTCCCCTTTTTCCGAAGAGCCTCATCATAAAGCAGGATTAATACAATCTGCTCTAGTTGTTTCAGAACAGTTGTTCGGGGCCTACTTTGTTATTTATGTAATTTACTCTCTGATGCTGCTACTAGACACAAGGACAGATGGGAAAGGATACAACCAAAAGTTAGCAGCATCACCCCGTACTACAAACTTAAACAGTAAAAATCACTGCTTCGTTTTAAACACTCAAACAAAATCTAGAACAGAGGTCTCACAGCAACAGGAAGGTTAAAATATGTTGACACGGAACAAGGAAAGTTGCAGAGTGAATGTGTCCATTTAAAGCCACAGTCACTTGAAAGCCATTAACATGACACATGCAGCTGTGTTTCTTTTGTCCACTAGGGCATGTAACTGGTTTGTAAGTATATATTTTCTGCACTACTGACTTCTTGTTGTGCTAATTAGGTCAGCATGATAACCAGATCCTCAGAATGAGTGCACAGGAAGCACAAAAATGACTGCCATCATCATCAGCATGCTGCCGGCTTGTTGCTCTGCAGGGACAACAAAACAGTAGCACAGAGCCTGCACGCCTTTCTGTTTAATTCCAGGAATTCTTCTTTCAGGCATTATCTGAAAGCAATAAACATTTTATCTCCATGCCAGATACTTTCTTCTATCCCCAGGCCTCCCATCCAGATGCTCGGCCCAGCAGCCCCGCCCCTCTGAACATGAACCACTACACCAACAAGAAGAGTGCAGCAGAGAGCATGCTGGATGTGGCTCTGCTGATGGCTAATGCTTCCCAGCTGAAGGCAGTGCTCGACCAGGGGCCTGACTTCTCCTTTTACACCCCAATTGTCACCCTAATCAGCATCTCCCTCTGTCTGCAGGTCACAGTTGGGGTCCTGCTTATCTTCATAGGTGAGGAACTAAACAGAGTCCCCCCTTAGACCTTTTGGCGTCTTTGTTGTCTGCTGAGCGTCGCAACCTTTGCTTGCCCTTTGAGTTTCCTCCCCTCCACACCTGTCCCCTCTGCAACGTCAAGTCCACCGATTTCTCATAAACAACTCATTACTGGCTAGTTGTAACCATGGCAACCCTCCAGACACCAGGTTAAAGGTCAATATGTGAGTGTACATGCTATAAATGTCTAGAAGTAAGGAAGAAAACAAATGATGCAATTAGCCATTTAGTGATACGCCCAGTGATTTTTAGGATTTCTGCATTTATAAGCCACGTTTGGAGAAAAATAGCTCGATTAAGATGGAAAGATGAACTTCAGATAAGATATAACCGTACATGTTACACTGTGGTTCAATGTGCTCTGACATAAAGCAGATCAGTGAACTTTAGCGAGGTCACACTGACTCATTTTAACTCGAGCAGGAGGAGTAAATAGAGTTTTGTCAGTATCTGCCTTTGAAGTCTTTTAAGATGTAACCACCCTATTATAGAACACCCCCCACCCCACCCACCCATATTAGTAATCTATGATGCAAAAGTAGTCTATTTTGAATTAAAAGTATTCTTGGCAGTATCTCGTATCTCACCTTTCCCAAGTATCTGCTTGTTTTAATTGAATTCCTACTGTAACCTCTGTTAATATATTACTATAATACAGATGTGAATTACTAAAATAGTCAAATTATAGTCATCATCATAATTTATAATCAAGTCTAACAAAAGATTCCTGCACTTGTTTTTTTTTCTTGTTTGTTTTCTAAAGAATCATGCGTCAGTAAAAAAGGTCCGTTAGTCATCACACATTTATGAAGACCTGAACCCCTCCTTCCACCAAACCAAGTGACTCTTCTGCCACCCCCCACCCCCAGATATTCAAACACATCTCTTTTCATTCCTCTTCCTTCATTTTCTCTGACTGCTCTGAACCCCACTGCCCCCACCACCCTCTTCCCTAAACCCTCCCCTCACACGCCTGTGGATCCAGCTCTGTCTAATGGAGCCAGTGGCGCGTGATGCGAGTGGCCTACATTCCATCACCACCCCCACCCCCTGTCCACCCTTACCCATCCCATCCAGGCAGATCAGACACACACAGGCGGGGTCCTTATACACCATTTAACCTTTGGTTATCTCCCATGAACACACACACATATACACACACATATGTACACAGATCATATTCCTGTAGAGTCCTATCAGCTGACACCCCCAACCCCAACACACGCACACACACAACACAATTTTTCCTGATCACACCCAATGTTATTCACCGGCCAGTCCCTGTGATGATGAAGATCCCAATAAATCATTATCACATGTACTGCTGTGTCCTCATTGTGTTTACAACTTCAAAGTACACATTAAATGACACATTTTTTTCATACAGTAACTATGAACTTCCCTCCGTCAGCCCTCTCTTCCCTGTATTGTCCCTTCTGTATGCTTTGAAAAAAAAAAATCTTCCTTCACATTTTTTCTACTCTTTTGAATTGCTGAGTAAGGGATGAATTTGACAACATAAATAATGAATTACTTCATGTACAGGTTCATGCTTGGACTAAATATTACGTTGTTTGCCACAGACAAAGAAAAATGTACAGAACACTGTGTTCAACAACATAGGGACATTTCTTATTCTTAAAATAGGCCCTAGGGGGTTTGACCTCTTAACCAATATAAAACTCTAATAAAAAAAGTATAAAAAGGGTTTTTGGGGGATTTGGAAGGAAGATTTGAGATTTATTGCGTAAGCATTGTATCTTCTTCAATAAAGCATTATCTCTGAGTACTTTCACGCCAAAATAACTGTATTTTCTCTTCCTTTAAAGCGCCTCAAATGTCCGATGATGACTCATCCTTCACTCAGGGGATTTTGTAAAATGTTTTAACCTATTAAAAAGCTTTCCTGAAGCCAACGATCCAATCACAGTCACCCCAATGTTATGTCCCGTCTTCTATCTTGTGATTGGTTCTTTCCCATTTGAACTGAAAATAAGTCAAGACAAGGCAGTTAGATAGTCTCAAAGTTCAGCTTCATGGGGACCTTAGGTACGAGTGTTCATGAAATGAAAGTTTCTAAACACTAAAAACTGAATTATGTTGTTCATTACTCTTATACATCCTTGTCAGAATGTAATATTTGTTCCTCTGCAATGTTAGTGTGATCACTTGTTAACATGCACCCAGAATGATCTGTGTATGGATTTATGGTTGTCAGTAAATCAGTGTATATTGAGTCGGCTGGAGTCCAAGTTTAAAGTTGGCTGCTTATGTTTGATTTGACATTCATTGATTGAGTGTGTGTTTCCTTTTTTGTCTACAGTTCGATGGGACCTGAATGATGAACAAAAACATTGGAGGTTAGACATTTTGGAGGACTTGGCTACATGTCTGGTTTTTATCATAGTGGTCGTGAATGTCTTTATTACAGCATTTGGAGTCAACAAGCCAAACTAATGTGAATGAACAACAACACACAGGTATTTCTCTTCTGATCACAATATCCTGTCTCCTTTGCTGCTCCTTGTTCTCTCTACAAGCAGTTTGCCATGCATGCAGTCAGCATATTTTTGGTCCTCACCTCCCCTGACCCGACCTTCACAATCCCCCTACCTGACCTAAAAACACACTGACCTCTCCAGGCTCTCAGAGAATTTTCCACCGGAAAACAACACAAAAACAAAAATCCAACAGCTGGCTCATTTACCAGAAAATCTTTGTCCTGCACACCGCTGCAGGCGGAGCGAACAAGAGAGAAACAGCAGAAATTACAATGGGGTCTGGTGCATAAACAACCCAACATTTGTTTTTGGTGGACAAACAGGAAAGTGGAGACAGCAGCAGTCAGGCACATGTGACCTCATGCTGTCTGTCTCCTTTGCTGCCCGGGAGTGAACTAAAGCCCTGCCAGACTACAAATGCACAGTTAAACGTGCATAAAAAATGGAAAAACAGGCTTCAATTTTTAATGATATCAATGACGTTCGTGCAAGATGTCATGGTTTCTGTCTGGATTGCTTGGACTGGTGTCATGGGGCAACTGAGGGAATGTACACAAGAACAGGGTGTGCCTCATGTGAGTCAAAGAGCTGTCCAACCTCCGCAGGTTAACCCTTCAGCACAGCTGTCCACAACCACAGGCCACAAGCCTAACATGACATTAAAACAATGTTTGGTTGTGCCTCGACTCTCTGAGCAAAGCTGGAGTGTGTCTGTGGTTCTCTGGACCGGCAGCTGGTGAATTCATCAACACAGCTCAGAGCCCAGCTGAACCGCTTGTTAAACTGTAAGCCTTAATTAGACAGTGTTTCAGCAATGTCACCTAAACCCCAAATTAGAGCAAAAGCAAATGCTCAATTTACACGCTCAACTTTTTAAACAAAACCAGTTTAGTCCGTTTTATAAAATCTGCAAAACACGTGAAGATTATTAAGACTGGTATGTAGAATTTCTTCTATAGGATCGTGACAAAGCACCTTTGAGATGACAAACCAATGTCACAATCTGATCCTCTTCCTCCTCCACAACTATCATTGGTTACCTTGGAAACAGGACGACTTGCAGAGAGCTAGATTGATGACACACACAGCTCCACTCAGAGCAGATCTGTAGACTGATATAGATACATAATGTATGTCTTCGGCTCCCACACTTCTGGCTCCATCTCAGTCCTGGCTCAGTAGGGGTCTCACTTTCAGAGGTTGCTGATGATCAAGGAGGAGTTTTAGCTTGGTTGAAGCAATACGGATCCCTCTTGGGAATGATGGATACCAGCATTCAAACTGGACAATCACCCTGGTGACACTTCCACCCCCCCCCCCTCCTCCCCCTCCCTCCTCCCCCTCCCCTGCCCTCCTCTTCCTCTCTGAGTCCCCTCTTCATATTCACTGCTCGGTCTCTGCAGAGAAGTCAGATCTCAACTCTCCAGGGTTCAGACACCTGAGCTCTCCAGAAGAGCAGAACTGTATATAAACCATCTATGATGTGGCCATTTCCCCACTGAGTCGTCATAATCAGTAATACTTTAAAGGGCTTCAAGTGAGTATGACATTTACGCACTCTGTACAAAGGCCTATTGTGAGCAGTCAATGGTGTGCATTTAATTAAGACGGCTTTATTCATCGATCAGTTTGTTTAATTATTAATTTATGTTGGTTGTCTGTAGCCCTAGATTGTCATTGTTATAGTACACCACAACGCCTTCTTCCCTTGTTTCTAATTTTGGTGAACTGAATGAGGCAGCGCCCTCTAGTGTTTTTATTGATGCCATTCAATCCAAACTCCATTTCATGTTCACAGAGCGAACATTGGTTTGGGTAATGTACATCTTTTGTCAATTCTTTGTTATTCTAAATTTAAAAAAACAAGATAGAACTTCATGTTTTGTGCTTTATTTGAACAAAACAAAATTCAACATTCTAATAGTCCACTCACGATCACAGCCTTAGTCACTTCCGTTCCCTAAAGGCTTCTTCTTAGGACATTACATTTCAACACCTTTACTCCCAGGAACATTTGCACACCGTGTTTGACAAACATGTTTGATTACATTTTGTTTGCTGTATTAAAGATACAGAGGCATGGAGCGCGATGTCCCGATACACGCATGTCAAATGTAGTTTGCAGAAAAATACCAGGATGTCCTACTACATCGTGCATTTTTGGCTATTCTGTCCCAAAATCCTCTGTGCATATTTCACCAACAGCCCCACCAAGAAGGCACAGAGAGATAAATCAAATTTGTGCATTACCGAGAATCAAAGGTCAAATTAAAATTAGATTAAACATTTTTCAGGTGGGGAAACTTAACCTTTTATTAGTCATATTTATACTTAAAGCAGAGTTTGTTGACTAGTGTTATTACCAGCACAGCTCCTCCCATCTTAAAACCTGAGTAGAGGTCATAATGTCAGTCAGTATTTACTAAGAAAATGTGATCAGATAGATTATATACACAAAATAACCTTTATATATACACACAAGTGTTAGGGTAGAACATTACATGTTTTTATAAAAGGTTTCAGCTGTGGGAATCCATGGCAGAATGATATGCGTCATTGTTTCCCTTTCCCAAAGTAAGTCAGTACTGCTTAGAAAAAAATTGAGATTTAAAAAAAAAAGCTTCGATAGCTCTTTAAGTGGATATGAGTTTGGCACTGCAAAGTGGCACAGTAAATGGCTTGTTCTTCTGAAGGGACCATTTCTTCAGCATTTCAGCAGCACCTTAATGGCCTCTTCTGTTCCGTTTTCAAACCTCAGCATATGAAATTAAAACATCTTTAGCACCTTTCCCAAGTGCTGCTGCAGAGCAGTGAAGAAACGGACCAGTAGAGCTCAATGTCTCACCCTCTGTGGGGAGAAAGACCCGCAACGAAGAGTTTTAGTTTTTAAGGAAAGAGTGGTTTAAAAATCAACAGAGTGGTATGTTTTCATCAAAATAAAAACTAAAAACTATGGAGATGCCTTGGATACCGGTCTACACTTACATCATTTGATGTATAAACCATCATTCTGCATGACTCACCTCCATAATAGTAGAGTAGTGCAACACCAACTAAAAAACTGAAACAGCTCAGGAAGAACATCGGACCTGCAGAGAGAAAGAAAAGGTTCTCATCGGGGACTTTTATAGACAAACAACAGCTATAAACATATGAGTGATCAGCAGGTGGGTGTATGTATTGTGCATAGTTGAACAGTGTTGTCTAAAGGATTGAATAGTTAAAAAATAAAAGCAAACTAAAAATTACAATAGGATATGGTTACAATTCAATTCACTCAGCAGACGCTTTTATCCAAAGCGATGTACATCAGAGAGTATGGTAAGACTGAAGAGTACACATCTGCTCTGTAAAAAGACAATTTTCTTGTTCACAGTCAATATGTGCCACATTTCTTTGTCTTCATTATGAATGGGTGTCACTGTTTCACTACTTCACTGATGACCCATTTTCCTGCTGACACACCTTTGACCCGAGGATGCGGCCCTGACTGTTCAAAAGGAATGCAGGCCACAGGAGGCTGCTTTGGACAGAGGGGTTTACACGTGAGCTTAACTGACCCACAAAACCAAAGCCCTGGATGCAAGGGGATGATAGATGGTGAAGCAGCGTGGAGCAGAGGGGCCCACATAGTGAGGCTCAGGGTTAAAAGGTTCAGCAGACAACTACATGCGCTGAAGAACAAAGCTTAGTTTGGCTTAAGGGGCTTATCTGAGGATCAGTGAGGGGTGCAGAGGCACCCTGACACACATAAACTGGAAGACCGCCATGTTTAAAAAACACACAAAAGATTAAAAAAAAACTGTTGCTGTCACATATCAAATTGGATGTGTTTTTAGGCCCGTTAACTACAAATTAGTATGCACTGCTCATGCAAGTACAAGGTAAGTATACAGTAAAACAGAAGCAACAAAATCAAGAAATAGAAAAAAAGGAGAAGAAAAGATTAGATGACCAAGGTGGTAATAGATACACAAGTGTGGGTAAAATGTTCAATGTCGTTATGAAAGGCTCTGTGAATTCAAACACCCACATTCTAAAAGTTGTGTGATCATTATAATGTAATTTAATTTTCAAAGGCAGCTAACAGCTGTGCACTTCTGAGCCCTGTTGTCCTGGAATGAAATGAGACTATATTGAAATAATCATGACCTTTAATAATTGATGATCGAGTTAGTTCTTGGAATAATGTGGTCGTTTTTTCGTCATCAATTTAAAATGTAAAATCGGTAGCACGCATAAGAAAGAAGACGGTTTCATAAAAGCTCTTTGTTACAGCAGCGTCTGTTTTAAATTGGTAACATGCAGTTGATCAAAACAAAACTTGACTGACTGCAGGGCTTACTGCGATGGATTACTGTACCAATGTTGCATCTCAAATAACTTCTCAAACTCTGTGAAGTGATTTCCCTATTGTTCTCAAAACAAACTCTGCCTGGAAAACAGGTCATCAGTTCCTTTATAATGTGGTGTGCTTTGAACAGCTTTTGATTCTTACTCAAAGTACGCATACATTATCTGTACTTGACCAAAACATAGAAAACAGCAGGGATCTTTTTTGCATTACAGGAAACATTTCACCCACACTCATTCAGTTTGGTCATTATTTACAGATACGATTATAAAGTTGAAGAAACCCCCCCCCCAGAAAGAACATTATACATATTGTTCCTCTGTGGAGTGACGTTATTAGATTTACAAGAAACTAAAAGTCAGCACACTCATTGTCCTTTAGGCTCTTTGCTGAAACGCGTCCGTTGCTACCCTGTATGCTGCTGCCCTACCCAGATTAAAAGACGTTAAAGGACACTGAATGTGCTAACTTTTCTACTTTCTTGAAATTCTTTTTGTGGTCGTGCACCTGGCGAGTTTTTATTGTTTGAATATGCTCCTTTTTCTAATGTTTAGTAGATTTACCTCTGTCATTAAGAACAAATCGCTCTGGGGAGCTGGTCACACTGAGAGTCCATTTTGGATCTGCAATATCTGGAACAAAAAGAAAAGTTGAGTGATTAAAGGGGTGAACGCTGCGCTTTTTAAAAAAGCAATAGCATTTGTAATGTGAAATCCACTACATGGCGTGCAGGCAGCGCTACTGCACGTCTCTCTAATTTTATAAGGATAAGCCTCCAAAAGGCCACACAGGGTATTACACAGCAGGGGGTGCACCATTATTGGACAGTTGGTTAGGAGATTTGTGTCATCATCTCACCTGGCATATTGGACAGCATTACTTTAGAACATGTAAGAAAAAGGAAAAGGTGCACTTATATGAATATATGTACTATACAGATCATAAAGAACTGGAGAAAGCAGGAAGGGAAAACTTTCAGGTGAATGCCAGCTGATCAGTGTATTTAACTTGCATTATATTGCAGCAATATAGAAGCTGAATTACGAAAGACACATATCCATTTCATCTTTAAGGATCTACTTATCAGACTTATGTAGTTTTCAAAACAAAAGCTTCTCTGATTCCGCTGTATATTTATTTTTAAATTTCTTACAAAACTTGGCAAAATTCAACTACTTAAATCTTTGTGAAACCCTGCACGGTGGATTTACCTCTCTGTGTGACTCTGGTGGGCAAGCTGGTGTAGACATCTTCAGCGTGAATGTGAAGTCCTCTGTAGAATTCATGACAGGCCTCCTCTCCCTTCATATACAGATGCATCAAGAGCTCTGGTAAGCGCACCTCGGTGGGCACGCTCAGGTTCCTGAACTGCAGGGAGAGGCATGCTGAATCTAATCACTGCACATACTGGTATACCATCATTCTAATTGAATTTAATTGATATAGTGACAGGACTCCATGACTGTCTAAACAGTTTTATATGTTTTATAGTATTATATGCAGCATTATCTGTATTGACCCTGCGTGCCTCCCTGTCGCTGAGTATCTGGGGGTAGATCCTGTTCAGCTGCAGCACCAGTCTGTCAACCAGTTCAGTGTCCATCCTCTCATGTGAGCACAGGAACTGGGCATCCCTCTGGAGCTTCTCATGGAAATCGTAAATGTCTTGTCAAGGACAAGCAAGAAGTAGTGTTAAATCAATGCATTTTACCCGACAACAAACACGCTGTAATTGCTGACTTGGAATTATAGGAGGCATCAGGGATCTAAAAAGTTGTATCTGCTCTAGTGTGAAGGTCAGGTCAGCAACAGGTCATACTCTCTTGCACAAGTACAGCTCACTAGAAAAGCTCTGGGCCTAATTAAACGCTTGCAGATTTGATGTCTAGTCTTAAGTAGTTTTTCAGTAAGCTGGTCTTGGCATTCGTCCAGTCCTGAAAATAAAAGTCTAAGAGGTTTATTCTCTTGTTTATAAGGTCGAATAGGCTGCACTTTCTAAATAAGGAAAATTGTAGCAAAAACCTAAGTTGAATAACTCAGAGATAAAAGTCAAACTATAGAGACCATAATCATTCATTTGAAGAGCCCTTGTCTGAATTTAATAATTCCTAGATTAATTCAATTGGAAAAAATTTGAACAAAGTGAGGCAAACTACCCGGACACATACAATAACAAAATATGAAAATAAATACTTTTATCAGTATAATACTAAAATAGTTTCATCATACACATAGGATCATTTAAATGTATAAGTTTGGATAGCTCTGACAATGACTGTCTATCACGAATAGAAATGACTTTATTTACATAACGAATTTAGACACACTTTTTTAAAATGCTCTTTCTTTTTTTTTTTTTTTTTTTTTAAATGATTGCAGCTCAGGCTCCGTCAAGTCTTGTAAAGAAACGCCCAATTATGTGCTTTACTAAAGCCAAAATGAATTCATTTCATTCAAAACAACAACCTAACTTGAAGCTGTAGAGTAAAATGAGTGCAACAAAGTGGGCGGGCAAGCTGGTCCTGTCACCCACAAGTTAGCGCGAAGGGGATTACTGTAAAAGATCCAAAACAAGACAAAACACCTTACCCTGGATTCACACACCTGTCATACTGACAAACAAAATGTTGGGCGCCCCTTCCGACAGACGGCTTCTCGGTAAACTTCCTGTTCCCTCCGCTGTGTCTCCCTTTTGTTCAACAACATCAGTACGTGTGACCAGCAGCCACACGGCGCCGCCCTGCGCTGCGCCTGCCCGAGGCCAAGTGATTGACCTCAGCACCACATCATAAGTATCAGTCCGCAGACTGCGACACCAGGCTGACCTGACAGGCGGATTAACAAGATCTGCTCTCAGGTGCACCCATTGGACCATAGCGATGTCCGTAATCACCTTAATTCATTTCCTTCGCCCATTAATACTAATGACTGCTCTAGTTCAATTATTAATAATAATCATAATAATCATAGTTAATAATAATCATAAATATGATTATAATTATAAAAAGAAGACAATTTGTTGCATTTCTTTCTCATTAGAAACACCCTTCATTACCATATTACTTATTTTGTAAGCTACATGGTCAGTCTGCTGCACCAACATTAAGACTTTCACACATTTTCATCCACCCCTAGAGAGAAATGTATACCAAACACTGCAGTCTCTCCATTGCAAAACAGTATCTCTTTAATAATTATAACTTTTTACATTCTTTCAAATTATATTTACATACTGTACTGGCCACGGGTTTCTCATTGGCTCTCCTCATCCAATAAGCAAGACTTTTCCTGCTCAGGAGAGGACTTTTTCTCACAAATCTTCTGAAGTTGCCAACAAATGTTGTGATATAGTTACAACAATGGTTAAGACGTATCTCAACATAACAATGTAATTGTTTTTTTTGAAAAGCTCAATTACAGGCGTGGAAGTCTCTTTCAATTACAGGAAGCCTATAATCAAACAAGGCTGGAGTCCTGAATGTTCAATGGCGTCCTTTCTCAGACAGAGGGCAGTGTGCCATTACAGTTTACAGAAGGCACATGAGTCCATCAGTACTGATCAGAGCTGCACCGTGGTCATCATTTCAACAACGTTTGGTTTTCACTTCTTTTTGTTCTCAATGATAAAGTTGACAATCTTGGTCTGTAGAACACTTCTGTGGGATGTTTCCTCACACCGATATAATCCGAATAGAAAATTCCTTCTTTAAATTCCTCATGTTGGCCTCATCTGTGTTTGATGGGTTCCCTCCAGACAAACTGGTCTGATGTCCTCCATACTGCCACATCCTACCAGAACCTACTGCTGGGACCTGGTCAGGGCCTGGACTTGCACTTTGAATGGTTGACTGAGGAGGTCTGCTGCATTGAGGTGGTTCACCGGAAATCTGTGCATACTGTGGGTTTCTGGGTAATAGAGGCTGGTCATAGTCACAGCCAGGGAGAGCAGATAGCAGAGGAACTGGGCCACACGTGCAGACAGGTTGATGGGTGTACTGTTGATGATATCTGTGGAGGAAAAGACAGGAAGTTGGTCATTTACCTCTTGCCTTACAGGACTTTTTAAATGTTTCCCCTTTAGAAAAGAAGTTGCCATTTCTCACCTGGAGGCCCTCATGTTTTCACACGAGGCTGAGATACTGGTGTCCCACAGTGAACTCAGCTTCTCCTGGGTATTGTTGTTGTTGTTGTTCCTGCTTTTAGGACTGTAGCGAGACCGCCTGTCCTCTTGTTGTTGGGGAGGCTCCTCCCACTGCCACATATCTGGATCACTATTAAAAAATGTCAATTCAAACCAGCAGGTCAATCTTTCAGTTTGAATATGAGTAACACTATCCTCTTTTATTTCTCCATCTTTTGAATTTCCCTCGGGATCAATAAAGTGTCTATCTATCTTTCTACACATCCCATTTAAAAAAGTTAGAAACTATTTTTACTCACTTGCAAAATGAAGGCACTACTTGACCACAATAAACAACTTGTGTTAAATAAGGCCAATAGTTTGCTTAATTTCAGAGGATAACGTCGTTTTTTCCACTATTTCACATCTGTAGTATGAATAACTTTACAGATTATGACTTTGCAATAAAACAAATTAAACTTGTAAAAAAAAAAAAAGTCAGCTTGGAGCCTCTTTGTTCTGTTTCAGATGTCAAGTTTTTAGTTCTATTTGAAGAGACGTTTGTTCCAAGATAGTTGTATAAAGTAAGTTCTTGCAATAAGAGAAAAAAGATATAATCAGACAAAAAAAAAACCCCACAATTAAGAAATTGTTGGAAAAAGCAAACAATGTATTTCTTAAGCATCACAGGGATTACTGACATACATGATCACTTTCATTGTTGGTTTCTTTTTGCAGCACACCCTGATGACACAGAGTGATACAGAGCACACTACTGCCAATGGTTTCACAATCTTTGAATGATACACAAGGGATTGGAAACAGGCCAAGACATGAAGGAACAGGAGGGACATGAAGAAGAAAACATCTGCCTGCTAGTGCACAATGCTCTATGATTTAAAATGCTTAAAACTTCCAAACTTTTGCTTTCATTCAGCATTAGTGCAAGCTAAAAGATACACACAGCCTTTTAAGTGTGCTGAATGTAGACATCATTAAGTTTTACAAGAAAACTATGGATGCAACTAAAGTATTTCTTTAAATAAAGAAGCTTAACTTGTGGTGAAGTATATTTCTATAATGGGGTAGTTCATTTAAAAGCATCTGTGTCATCTGAGCACTTATTCACACAGTTTACGTCTCACTCACCTCTCATGCTGTTTCCGTTTGTCCTCTTTGATGCAGTCGAGCAAACAGCAGGTGATGAAGGCCATGGACATGAAGAAGATAATGGCTGAGCTTACAATAGATGCCAGCACGGCTACTCGGAAACCGTAGTCCTCAAACGGAGATAGAGCTGCGGTGTCAGAGAAGAAGACTGCTGACTGCTTTTGTTCAGCTTTAATTCAAAGGCACGCACAAATGTTACACACAGCTGCCTTCATCACGCTGCAGAAGTGAACCGTAACATTCAAGCGTCACACAAAAGAAAGATCATCTTGCAACATAATCAAGATTCTGCTGTCACCTTTTCCAGTCACTAACCAAAAGGACAACTAACTGTGCACCCTCTTGAGATTACTCCTCTCCTCATGCATTCCTATCAATATTCTCCTTTAACTAGCTCTAGCAAAAATAGAATCTCTCTTGAAAGCGTCTTTAAGCATTCATTATTCTGAGCCAAATAATACCTGAAGTTGTCTTCATTACTTGTAGCCACAATGTCTATCACATAATGGTTCATATAAATGCAATGTCTTCATAAAAATGAGCTGAGGGAGAGCTTAGGAGACGTTTTGCAGCTGCTGCAAATTCTCCTCCAAGCATAGAAACATTCGATCTGCGCATATACACATCTGGTTATAAAATGTAAAAACAGCTAGATGCATTCGGTAAAACACAATGACTGTCATTTGTTTTTATGTTAACCCTCAAGTAAAGGCCTTACTCACGTTTACAGTAGTTCTGGCCCACCCACTGGGTGCTGTTTGGGCCTAGTACACATGTTAGTTCCCCTCCCATCAGTTTGTGTTTGGCTGGGCACTGCAGGGAAATGATTGTGCCCACATTGGTACCATTTCCCTGGATGATCTTTTGAGTGCCCAGGGCAGGTAAGGGCATAGGTGTGCACTGGTTCTGGGACTGAACTGAAAAGCAAAGAGATCAGTTTTCACAAAGATGATCGTACAACTCAGGGCTGACACAGTAACACAGCAACAGTGCAGGACGATTTGTGATTCATTCCACAGCTATCAGCACTGAACTCCTGTAGGGCTGCACAACTTTGCGTGACAAAAACCTGACCTTCAAAAAAAGCACTGTACCGTGCTGTAACAAATTCTTACAGTATCGAAACAGGAAATGTGATAAACCATTCAACTAAATGACTGGTGGAAATACACAGGCCATCTGGAGCCATGCTAATCATTCCTTTATCATACAGAGCAGCATGCTGCACAGCATATTACAGGAGGGGGGGGGGGGGGGGTCTCTCACTGTCAGCCAGTAGTCTGTCACTATGAACCTACAATATCAGAGTTCAACACGACACAAGCTTCTGGAATGCAACTAAAAGCAGTGACATCAAATCAGTGATTTCCTACAAGACTTATCATGTGATCCGTCCTAGGAAGTGTCAGATGCAGCTTGTTTGCTAAGGGAAACCTGATTCTGATATCCATGCCAAACAATGGACATGAGATAAAAGAGAGATTTTGCAATACTCCTCTTTGTTTCAATTAAATGAAGGAAAACATCCAGGAATGTGACATCGGCTGTGCACTTCCAGTAAAACATATGGTGCAGCCACAAGGGGCATCAAGTTACACCAAAGGCTTCTTGACAAAATGAGAGATGATGTTAAGTGTCTTATTTTCTTTAGAAGCATTAAACACGCTTCTGGACAAATTTGTCAATTACAGTGGGCGAGTCACAGCTGGTATAAATTCTGCTCTGAAGGACATTTACGTCACTTTATTCAAGTTTATATAACACAAGGACGAACCTCACTGCCGATGAGTAAAGATCATCACTTTCATGGACCGTGTCTGTAGCCTATGTGTTATGTGAGTGGCTGCTTCAGCGTCATCGTTTGACGCCCAGCTGTGCGTTGGCGCAAGGACTTTCTGATGATAAACCCACAAACAGTTGCCTCCCTTTTTGACTTCCTCTTTTGTTTGCGTTTTAAATCAACCAATGAGTTCTGTAAAAATGATAGACAGGTCTCGCAATGTTTCCCCTCGAAAACCCCAGATGACACATGATGCAGGATGCAAACTGTATTCATTAATGTGATTTAAATTCTCAAATATGTTTTACACGCCTGTAATTAAGAGGATAATCTGAAAATGCATCATTTTATATAGCCCACCATGGCCATTATTCATGCAGCAATTCTTTGCGAACTACAATTACAGAAAGCAGGCGACTGGAAGACCCTTAAGGGGTATTGCACAGGATTGCACGTTAGATGCATACTGTATACTATGCTATATGACTAATCAGTGATTGGATGTTTGAATCAGACGCAGGTCACTTGGAAAACATGCAATGTAAAATCTGAAGAAGAAAAAAAATACGAGTCTCCATGTTAAGAATAGTGATGAAAGAAATGCAAAGTGCAAAACAAATTCCCGTGCAAGCACTTCCACACTTGGAACTCGAGTAGGCTATAAACTGGACACCTTGGTCTTACCTGAGCTACTTAGGTCACGTCCGTTAATAAAATTGGTCCTGGACACATCTGTTATTGAGGCTGTTGCCGCCGACATGGTGTTGATTGACAGGTCCCCCCCTCTTAGTCCGCTCTTTTTGGTTGTGCGTAAAGACTGCGCAACGGTGTCCCTCTGTGTCCGGTACAGAATACACACGTCGGGATTCCGTAAACTCCAGAATTCCGACTCCGTACCTCCCAAAGAGAAGCTTTACGTCCACAGAATCCTCCCACAGTGCTCTTCTCACTGCATCATTTACTTCTTCCAGTGCATGGTTTGGACAGCGCTTCTGTGGTGGC